GGGTTACCTCTTCAGAGGGGGGAATGTTAGAGTAGCCAAAAGCCCCATAAAAAATTAAAGAAGAAGAAAGAGTACATGAAGTTATCAGAAAAAAAGTGATGGGGAGATATGGGAGGAATTGGAGGGGAGGAAGTAGGCATCAGTTTAATCAAAACACCTTATATGCATGTATAAAATTCTCAATAAACTATTTTTAAAAAAAGGACTTCTGTGAGATTGGTGGGATTTAGAATCAAAATAACTTCTCCCTTAAGGACTACAAGCCTAGATTAAAATTGGAAAATGTAAACACAATGACGAGGGGAATCTGGGAGTGCAGCAGGCATCCCTCATTGCTGGAGTGATTCTCAGCAAGTGGGCTTTCTCTGGTCATAGGAACACATCCAGTTCATGTCCAGAGCAGGCAGGAAATGCCTCCTGGGTAATGATCCATCTTCTCCCCAGAGCTGTTCCCAACCATTCCCAACCAAAGATGGGTGGGATCTAGCACATGCTTACACTAGTTCTGTCTCTCCTCTGGTGAGCTGGACGGGGCTTTTTGTATGCATTGTCTCTGAAAGCTCTATCATGACTGAGTTCTAGGTGCGCACAGTGTAGGCAGCTTCTAAATGCTGCCCACATTTACTTCCTTGCCTTTGAGTGTTATCTCTCCACTCGCTTCTACATTCACTTTCCCAAGTAAACTACGTGGACTCCAGTCTCTGTTCCAGAGTACTGGGGGATAAGAGCAGTCTACAGCAGGTTGTAGGTTTCATTCACATGCCCGAGTTAGCTATCTGCACCTCTTCCTTTCTGTCCTTTGGATCTCTGAGAACTGCATAGCTCAGGCACAGTTGCCAAATAACATCTCACTAGCTTGGGCACTACAAGTTGCTGATAGAAGAACAGCAGCCCGTACGGAAAGCCAACATAGCCATGATGTGTCTCCTCTGCTACACGGTGGCACTGTAACAACTGTTTTGACAGGTCCCAAGGGACAACGTTTCTTTGTGTCTCTGGTCCTATCTTGCATCCTCTACCAGGCTCTACATCTTATAAGAAAATTCCAGCTCCCAGACTCTAGGAAGCCACCTATGTGGAAATTCTTTATATATATTTAAAATAGTCCGTGCCACCGTGTGACAGAAAATAAGCTGGAAAATCAGAAAGCAGATGAAGGAGGATCTGACAGACATCAAAGAGCATGGAATGCTAAGCAAAGTTTCCTGAGTCTGTTCACTGTCTCCTTTGTTTTCTTTTAGAACACTGTGCTGGGTAGATTTAGTTGTCAACTTGACACACCTGGGTAGAGGGAGCCTCAACTAGGAAATTGCTTCCATTGGACTGGCCTGTGGCCATGTCTGTGGGGTATTTTCTTGATTGTTGAGTGATGTGGGAAGGCCCACTGTGGGTGGTGCCACCTGAGCAGGTTGTCCTGTATTATATAAGAAAGCAGGCTGAGCACTGGCAAGGGGAGCAAGCCAGTAAGTAGTGTTCCTCCGTGGCCTGTGCTTCAGCTCCTGCCTCCAGGCTCCTGACCTGAGTTCCTACCTTGGGCTTCCTCAGTGATGAACTGTGACCTAGGAGTTGTAAGATAAAATAAACCCTTTCCTCCCTGAGTTGGTATTGGTCAGAGTGTTTTGTCATAGCAATAGAGAAGTTAATTAGAACAAATATCCATTATAGTGTTAAGTTACTCAAAACAACATGAATATTTCCAAAACAAGACAGTTTTTCCATGTGTTCTTAGTAGCATTTCCTTTTTGAGTGACAAAATTATTCTCCACCTTTAGAAATTTAATTTTTTCCTGGGATATGTGACTCATACCCATGAATATAAGTAGAAAACTAGCTGAGTGTGATGGGACCGAGATCAGAGGAGACATCAGGAGAGATGAATTCCAGACCCCATGATCCCATCCAAGGATGGTGATGATGAAGTCCAGCAAATCAAAAGGCCTGGAATCAAAACTGTTGGTGGCTATTCCAGCCTCCAGATAACCAGCTTCTCTCAGATGCTCCTTGACCCAACTTCAGTCAAAATGTAGTCCAAAATTCAGACATTACAAAGCCAGAGAATCCACTCAAAATGGCCAGTACCACTTGCCTTTCAATGAAAACAAAAGTCTAAATCTGTGGCCAACATCTCTACAAAAAATAGTTGCATTGAAACAATTGGGGGAGTTAAAAGGTAACTGTTGTTCCTCCTGGCTTCTTCCCCACGCCTAAGGAAAGACTGTTCTGCCAAATGTTTGCCACTGAACTGATAAACAACAGACACATAGACCCCTGAAGCCAAACATGTCTAAATAGTCACAATTGTACACTTCGCCGCGGTTTCAGAATTTACTCTGAGAGTTGTTAAATTTGCTGAAACAATTTGTTTTAGTCAGGATGTATGTAAGACAAAATGAAGGGAAAATGTCTGAAACTACAGTTGTTATATTATTTTCAAGTCCTATCCCCATGACCACATCTTGGTGGAAGTTATGATTAGTTAGAGACTAAATGAGAACAGCTTTGACAAACTGTGTTTGATTGATGTGGACAAGGAGGGGTCAGCACAGGCCCATGTTTCTGTAGACATCCAAGTGCTCATGTCTTCACATCCCAGCACGCTGAACCTCCGTCGTTTTCTTTTGAGGAAGATTGGCAATTTCCCTGGCATTGCCGTATGACATTTTCCCAGGTAGGCTGTCAAATCTAGGGCATTGAATTGCATGCTTTGCCAAGCAGTTTCCCTCTGACATTAAAAAAAGGGTATTGAGCCCTTCTTTACTGGATTCAGCTCAGATTTATAGGCATTCATCAAAGTGATACAAAACCTAGGAATTCTAAGAATGTCTATTGTTTCGCCTCACTCTTAACAGGGCTTATAACAAATTAAGTTGGATTTTTGTTCTAACGAAGAAGAAAAATTTACTTTCATTCTGAATGGAGGTCGACCTGAGTTTAGGTTTCCTCATGACTTTGGCATGTTTCAGGTATGTAACTAGTGCATATTCACTTTTCTGTGAGTCAAACGCCATTTTGCTCAGGGAGAAGCCAGCGCACCTAAGTCTCTAAGCGATCCTGGTCTGTGCCTCACGTGCCTGTCTCTCTTCAATTTTCTAGCTTCTGTGAACTTAAGTTTTATCTCGGTGAACTACTAGATAGGGATTCCAAGGCTCTCTATATACATCATGCCTTTGATATAAGATGCCAAGGGTCTATATATACATCTTGACTAGATATAAACTTACATTAAGAATTCCAGGTATCACTGATGTAGGTAGAGACAACACTGTGAGAAATCATTGTGGAGATTTAAGAGAGGTCTTAGCAATATTGACATGGTGCTTTACATATTATTGTTAACATATGAACATATGTTTATTACAACAAGTTTATGGAAGTCATTATGCTTGTTTCATAAATAACATAGTATTGGAGGTTTGAATGGTACATTGAGCAGTATTAAGGCCCATGTCTGTTTGGTGCCACATGATCTCACAATACTGCCAGCTCCCTACCCCAACAATACATATTAACACTCAACACACAGGCCATGAGTACCCAATGCCAGGAAAGAGGAAAGATTGGAAGATAGGTACTGAGAACACCTTTGATTTTAAAATCGTCAAATTAAAAACCTTCTCCAATAATGAAAGTTTTAGACTTGGGAAAGTTTTAGACCCCATCAGTGTGAGGATCACTTCAGATAACTGAGGCTTACAGATATCTATGGTTTATTAGACCCTACTCTAGATTAAGAACAGGAGATTACAGTTTCCTAACACATTGAATTCATTTTGATAAAACCTAGAATTTCCAACTGTTTGTTGGTCTCTGCAAAACAGAAATCTATCTCAAAAAGATGTTGTCATATGTAATGCTAGCATCCATAGGAGAGAAGTACACAGGACCTTAGTAAGTGTCAGCTTCTCCTGTGTCATATACCAAGAGAAAACCGTGAAAGAGAGTCCATGAGGCAGGAGCAGAGCCTGACTATTCTGCTAGTGATTGACCATCTTAGCACACACGGTCTAGGGGTCGAGAATATCGAGTCTCAAAACAACCCTCTCATGTCTTGGCAGTGTTTCTGGGTAGAGATGAATCCAGTCTGATTTTGTGTGTGTGTGTGTGTGTGTGTGTGTGTGTGTACAAAGTGTACGTGTGTCTGATTGTGTGGTGTGTGTGCACATGTATGAGTGTGTGTGAGTGCAGGCAGCACATCCCATAGAATGCCTGTGGAGGTCAGAGGACAACCGTGGGTTCCACCTTACCCCAGTTTTGCACCTGCTTAGAGGCTCTGCTCTTTGGATGCATGCACCAGGCTAGCTGGCCCATACTATCTGAGGATTCTCTTGTCTCAGCCCTCCACCTCACTGTAGGAGTTCTGGGGTCACACATGTACACTATCACACATGTACTGACATGAGTTCTGAAGGTTAAAACTCAGGGTCTCATACTTACAAGGCACGTGTTAACCCACTGAGCCATCTCCCTAACCTCTGATGGTTTTTTGTGTTACTTCTGTTTCTAGTTCTTTCCTTTCATAAATACATATAACATCCCTTACCAAGGCCATTAACTGTTTTCTGCATTACTATTTAATTCACCAAGGCATTTATATTTCCTGAAATTACATGACTTCATGGCCTTCTTGGAAATCATCCACTTTTCCATAGTAACCTGTTTGAATTACCTGGTTTCTTACGATGACGCTGAGGTATCCAAACATCTTAAACTAAAGGATGATTGTTAAAACTCAATGTTTGAGACAGGTTCTCACTATGAATCCTAGACTGGTCTCAAAATCACAATCTTGCTGCCTTTGCCTCCCAAGTACTGGAACTGCAGATGTATACTCACACCTAGAGCATAGCACAAGACATCTCAATAACA